TGGAGGTAAGTCTCACCATCCTGGCCTCCAATCTTCGTCCAGCTGCTCATCACCTCTCTCTCTTCGTCAGGAGTCCCGTCCGGTTGACACCGATCGTTCGTCTGGACAGCCTTCTTCTGAAACGAGCCTTCAGCCACCGTCTGGAACTTCTTTTCCCATGAGTCATGACCCAACGCCAATGCCGGCAGCGCCGACCGCTGCCGCAACTTCCGCTACGCTTCAGGCTGGGACTCAATCTTCGGCCCTAGTTCCCGTTGCTTCTCCAGCTCCTGCCGAGGCTTCGGAGGAGTTGACCGTGGATTCGCTGTGCGATCTTCTTGCTGAGTCTGCGGACGCAACGGTAGACTCTATAAGGACTGCACTTCTGCCATATTTGACGCTGATGGCACGGCACCAAGTCCAGCTCAGCATCTCGCCTCCGCTTCAGGGTGACGTTCGAACCCAACGTCGTATGAATGACGCGCTCGGCTTCGACCAGGTGCTGGCAGTGGTTCAACCTCTCTCCGACACGTTGTCGGACCTTCCTCACGTAGTCGACGAGTTGTTTAAATGAAGATCTCCCGGGAGGAAGCTGCCGCTGCTAAACGTTTTCTGATTCCCGTCCAGCTCCGAGTTGAGTCTCTGAAGACTCTTCTTCAACAAATCGACGGCCGAGGTGAACGAGCTTCAAGCAGAGATCAAGTGCCTCAAGTCAGCGAACGTTCGCATTGGTTCTCTGGTCGAAAAGAGTAAGGAGTCGATGGACGTTCAGACAGAGAACCTTCGGCTCACCATGAACTACGTCGAGCAGAAGCAAGATATCATCGACGCCTTGGACAAGCAGATTGAAGAGGAACGCGAGGTCTTCGAGACGACGGTCAGCACGAAGACTGAGAGCACCCGCAAGCTTCATGCCCTGTTTCTCAAGGCCACACAGGGTACCTGGGTCGATGCTGACACTGCTGCGCTGATCGCCTAAGTAAAAGACCCCAATTTGAGCTTACTCCGGACCAACCGCGCTTTCCGAGGGTTCGTTAGCTTCGCCGGCAGGGGTCCGAACACTCT